CAGGGTCAATGCCATATTGAAGTATTGTATGTTGCACACAATTAAACCACTCTTGAATGATTTTTGGGTCTTCACACTTTGCACGCTCGTAATTATAGCGCCTTGAGAATCGGGTTGAAAGCTCAGAATGCCTTTTCGCGCCTTGAGAATCGGGTTGAAAGCTCAGAATGCCTTTTCACAAAGTTTGTAACCCAATTCTTGCCAACTGTTTGAACTGGGGTAGATCCACGAGCCGCGAGTAAAAGATTGGCCATTTCTTGTACAGCAGTAGGCCGAGGCGCTGCTCCGCGGGAATCCATTGAGAGAATCCATTTTACAAGTGATTCCTCTTCTGTTTGAGACAATCTATGGTTATTGGCGCGTGATTCAGGGCGAAAGACGTCACCAGCAAGGCGGCGTTGTAAAGTAGAGCAAGGCACTTGAAAGTGGTGTGCTGCTTCGCGAATAGAGCTAACTTCTTGATTCTTAATAGCCTGGATAGCTAATAAGATCCTACCCTCCTGCTCTATTGAATACCGAGAGCTTTGAGAGCGAATTGGTGGCATGGTGGGTGGTTGAAGAAAGAAGGGTATATAAAACCGACGCGTTTCGCGTTTGGTGGCCCACTCGCTTGTGAATTACGTTATGAATAATCCTATTCATAATCAGGGAAGTCTCGTGGGTAATCTACTGTTGTAGAATGACCACGCTAAATTGACCACAATAATTTACAATACGCACCTCTTAGGTAGTCAGATGCCAGGTCAGGCCAGACCATACTCACATGCAACAAAAAGAAAAAGAAAAAAAAACAAAAGAATAGCAAAGTAGTCGACGCTAGCCTAGTCCCACAAAAAAAGGCGTTTAAGATGTAGTAATCAAACAAATGTACTTAATATAACCCTTCAATTGCCTCCTTCACCAAACCCAACAGATAGAAAACGGAAATGGAAAAATAAGGATGAAAAAGGAAATTGAAATGTAATGGAATGACAGATATTGTTATGTTACATTCACTCGCCCTTCAAGCGGTCCTGGTGGATAGAGAATGCATCCTCAAGGAATTCCTGCTCTTCCTTGATGTGCACAGATTTGAGACCGGTGGCAACCGATGCGCTAGGGGCACGACCGGCGTAGAGGACGTGGCGGCGGTTGTGGTGCTCGGTAGCATTCAGCAGGGTCTCGATACGGGGCTGGGTGAAACACCAGGCACCGGCGTTCAAAGGCTCCTCCTGAGCCCAGACGATGTTCTGGGCGTTGGGGTAGCTGTCAAGGTTCTCCTTGAGCTGAGCCCAGGGGAAGGGGTGCAGCTGCTCGATACGGGTGATGGCAGTGTTGCGGATGTTGTTGGCCTCACGGTGCTTGATCAGAGTGGCGTACACCTGACCAGAGCAGAGAATCACACGCTCAATCTTCTCGGGCTCGTCAATGGCGGTGCCGTGAGCGGGGTCGGGGATGATCCACTGGAAGTGAGAGTCGCCAGTGAACTCGGAGAGATCAGAGCGAGCAATGGGGTGACGCAGGAGCGACTTGGAGAAGAACATGATCAAAGCTGTAGAACGTTAGCAAATGCATTTCCGTAAAACAAAAGACAAGACATACGCTTGCGGAACTGGCGGTGGATCTGGCGACGGAGCATGTGGAACATGTTAGCAGGGCTGGTCATGTAGACAACCTGCATGTTGCAGTCCTGGTGCTGGCGGTCAAGTCTGTCCTGAGAGGGGTACACGCGGGGCTCCTCGTTACAGAGCTGCAACCAACGCTCCATTCTGCCCGAAGAGTGCTCAGGACCCTGGCCATCGTAACCGTGAGGCAGAGAAAGAACAAGACCAGAACGCTGCAGCCACTTCGATTCACCAGCAGCAATGAACTGATCAATAATACACTGAGCGTTGTTGGCAAAGTCACCAAACTGAGCCTCCCACATGACGAAAGCGTTAGGCGAGGTCAAAGAATAACCGTATTCGAAACCAAGGCTGCAAAATTTAGATTCAGAAATAATGGAGAAAGGGACAGAAGAAAACTCACGCTCCGAATTCACTCAGGGAAGAGTTGGAGATGACAAAGCTACCCTGCTTGTCACTAATGTGCTGCAAAGGAGTGTAGGTACCCTCAGTAGCCTGGTCGTGCAGGACAGCGTGACGTTGAGAGAACGTACCACGCTCAACATCCTGACCGGAAACACGGACGTGGTAACCCTCGTCGACAAGGGAACCGAAAGCAAGAGCCTCAGCAGTGGCCCAGTCAATGCCCTTGCCCTCTTCAACAACCTTCTGGCGGTTGGATAAGATACGCTTGAGGTTGCGGTGGAGAGTGAAGCTCTCGGGCCCATCGCTAATGGTTCTGGCAATGTGCTTCAAGAGCTCAGGCTCAACCGCGGTGTCAAGGTGAGGAAGGACCTCGGTGGCCAGCTCCTTGGGGGTCTTGAAGCCGTTCCAGGCTGAGGTGAGCCATTCCTTGCTAGTGGGCTGGTAATCCTTGCTGCGGTCGAAGCTGTCGTTGAGCATTCCCCAGACCCACTTCTTGTGCTCGTCAATGTCCTCCTTGGTAAAGCTCCCCTCAGCAATCAGCTTCTCGACGTACTTGTCGATCTGGTTCTTCTGCTCGGCAATGCGCTTGTACATCAAGGGCTGGGTGAACGAAGGCTGGTCGGTTTCATTGTGGCCCTGCTTACGGTAGCAAACAATGTCAATGATGACATCGCGCTTGAACTCGGCACGCCAGTCAGCGGCAACCTGGCAAATGTAGTTGACGGCCTCGACATCGTCACCATTCACGTGGAAGACGGGGGCGTCGATCGACTTGGCGATGTCCGAGCAGTAGGGGGTGGAACGAGCGAAACGGGGGTCAGTGGTAAAACCGATCTGGTTGTTCACGACAATGTGAATGGTACCACCGGTCGAGTAGGCGGGGAGGGAGTGGAATCCCATAGTCTCGTAAACAACACCCTGAGCGGCGAAAGCAGCATCACCGTGCAGCAGAACACCCATGGCGCTGTTGAACTCGGTTTCGTCGTTGTTGTAGTGCTGGATGGAGCGGGTCTTTCCGAGCACGACGGGGTCCTCAGCTTCCAAGTGAGACGGGTTGGCGACCAGGGAGAGCTGGACGCGCTTGCCGGAGGGCGTGGGACGCTCGAAGTTCATACCCAAGTGGTACTTGACGTCACCAGAGCCCTCGTCAGAGGGTTCAGTCGAACCGGCGAATTCGCTGAAGATCGACTCATTGGGCTTACGGACAACGTTGGAAAGGATGTTGAGACGACCACGGTGAGGCATACCGATGACAATGTCCTTGATACCGTAGTCAACGCTACGGTCAATCAGGGCCTTCATACCGGGAACGAGAGATTCACAACCCTCAAGACCGAAACGCTTGTCGTTGGGGAATTTGGTGGCCAGGAAGGACTCGAAGCTGTGCGACCAGATCAGACGGTCAAGGATGCGGCGTTTGTCATCCACAGAGTACTGGTAGCGCTGAGGAACCTCGAAGCGGTCACGGATCCAGTCACAGGGCTTGCGGTCAGGAATATGGATGTACTCGACACCGTAGGAGCCACAGTAGATCTGCTCGCAGGTAGCGACGATCTCACGCAGGGTCATTTTCTTGCGATCGGGAGTAGAGAAGCGGGGCAAAATACCAGGTCCAAGAGTAAACTCCTGGTCGAGGTCACGCTCAGTGAAACCGTAGTGGTCGAGCTCAAGCTCCTTGGGCTTGCTGTAACCGAAAGCCTCAGCCTCACCACGGATACCAAGAGGGTCGATCTTGGCCTTGTGGTGACCACGGGCCTGGTAAGCGCGCACCAAAAGCTGAACCTTCAAGTGGTTAGTGACTTCGGGGCTGCCGCTCAAGCCCAAGCCCTCACCGGGCATTTGTTGGGGCACACCACCCGTCGGTGTCGGGACAAGAGTCGGAGGGGGCTGGAAAGCCTGGGAGACAGGCATGTTGCCGTTCTCCATGTTCTTGAAGTAGGTCTGCCACGAGATGTGGACGCTGGATGGATCGTTCTTCCATGCCACGTACATCTCATCGATATAGTTGGCGGTGTTGCCGGACAGGAAGGAATCATTGGGATCCTATTTACGGCATCAGTCAGTCGAGTTCCATATTTCCTCCAATATATCTTTTCCCCCCAATCGACAAGTTGCAATCAATCCATGGGGCAAAGTAAATGCTCACCACGCCCTTTTCCAATTCCTCAGCAGAAGCAGCATAGTGTCTCCGGCCATAACCACCAGCCAAACGGTCCACAACAGCGAGAGGTCTCCTGGTCGCAACACCGAATTTCGAGCCGTTAGAATTCCGAGCAACATTCGAGGCAAGAGAGAAAGATCTCCGGCACGATGAGCAGGTCGAGCCGCGCGACAAGCTGCCACTGGCCGCCTTTACGGCAGTAGTCCGGAGCATTGTGCGGGATTTTTTTCCGTCACGCGCGGGAGCGTGAAATCGATTGAGTAGAGGGGAGAGGGGAGAGCGAAGAGCTGGCGGGAGCTCAGCAGTGGAATATCAATAAGAAATATAAAGAGAATGTTTATTCAGCTAGTATAAGTTAGCTGGCTGGCTGAGATCCATAGTGTGGTGTCCCGATGATGTATTATTGCTGCACGGAGAAAAGGAAGACGGGACGTACGGATGACAAGAAAACACACAGGTGTCGACTAGAACTGCCGTAGCACCTGCACTCCAACGGGACTCATCAGAGAGCAGAACTCTCTAGTTGTTAAAAAGGGTAGTGGTGGTGAGAAACCGGAGGTTCAGAGAGGGAGGAGCGAGAGAAAGGAAGAGATGAAACCGGCTCAATACAGCCAGAGGGACTCAGTGTCTTTGCCGAGATCGACGGCTATGACGGCCGTGGCTGAAAGCCTTCATTAGCCACATCTTGACTCAGCCGGATACCGAGCCGGTTGTGTCGAGTCCTTACGCACGTTTTACGAATCCCACCGGCTGTGTAACCCCCGACCACAGGGCCGGGATTACAGTACCATACGCTGCACCGCCACAGTCCGGTTATGCGAATTTCCCGCCACGGGTTTTTGCGGATGGGCACGTGGCCAATCATTGCGGGAGGATATATGTATTAGACACTATGCTATATACAGCCGAGCTCGATCAATTCACAATAGTATGTTAGATAGAAGGCAGGATGAAAAGAAACAAAAAGACCAAATGCGCTGAATGTCGAAATCAAACATGCAAAATGAACTCATTAGGTCGTATAATAGGGCATCGCGATAGATATAGACGGGTACACATATACACCATAGATCAAAATATAAAATACCAAATTTACACCGGACTGGCTGTCGACGATCCGTTCCGTTCGAGTTCCCGAACTGGGGATCCAGTCGCACTGCCGTTTCCAGGCCAGATGACATCGGCTGGGATCGTCGGGATAGTCGGGCTTGCATCGGAAAGCGCGGTGAAACTACCCCGGTTCGACGAGGAATGCGGCTGGTGAGCAAACGGAGGTGGACTGGCACTGCTGCTGCGAAGACTGCCATTACTTCCACCCCAGGCTCCCCGGCGGAGTCTCATCAGTGCGCTGAGTGACATCTCGTCATCCAGATTGCCCAAATCGACCAATTGTGCCAACCCGGGACTTGACATGGACGTGTTCGAATGGCCCGGGGCATGTGCCGCTGTCAACGATATAACCGAATTGCGCGTGCTTCGCTCACTCCGCTCAGTGATGGGAGTCAAACTGGGTTCCCGGAATTTACCCCGGCTGCTAAAACTCCGCGATATACCTTCTACCCCACGTGGGCCAAAGTATCCACCATTGGTGAGCTCCAACTCGGAATTCCCGTGCGAATGTGCATAAAAGCCAAATTCTTGGCCATAGAAACCATCGTCATCGTTCTCCAACGCCTCTGCATTAGCCGCCGCAATAATGGGGTCATCGTATAGCGCGTCGCAGTCGTCATAGTCAAAATCTTCAAGAATTTCTTCTGAGCCGAATGGCTCAATGGCCTGGCTCAAGCGACTGTTATCTGATATCAGTCCCGGGTGAGAATCTGCCGTTTGTGCTGTCTGGGCCGCACTCTCTTGGTCCATAGATCGATCACTCATGCTGTCTGTCCGCTCAAACCGGTCATTACCAGTCGCCGCTTTGGTCAGGGCATTATGCAATGCCTCAAGGTTGTGCTCGGAGAGTACTCCGCCATGGACCTTAGCTGACCCGGCATCCCGCGTTCGTTCAGAAAGAGAACCAAAAGTCTTGAGCCCTATTCGATAATCACTGGCCATACTAGGTGCATGTCCCAGTGCTCCTGTGTGTCCTGCCAGGTTTCTAGTAAATTCTTCTTCTGATAAAGAATCCTCGAATCGTGTTGCCTGCTGTTCTCCGCTAGTTTCAGGGGCCGTTTTTTTCTTGCGATCATATAAGTGACTCGTCTCGTCATCAAAGATCGATTCGTCGAACTTCTCACCCTCAACACCAACATCTGCATCGAGGTCACCAAATTCTCCATCATCAAAGTATAGATCGTCATCATCCTCCAACACTTGTGATGTGCCAGGGTTCATTCCAAGGGGTACCGGGGCTGGACCAGTCGAAGGCGCTCCTGCGTTTATCTGCTGCTGTGGTATACTTACATCATTGTTCCCTGGTGTAGTGTTCTCGTAGAGAGATGGGGTGCGGGAAGAATCCTGCCGCAGCTCAGCAGGAACTGGAGCTCCCTGCGCGGGAAGAGTAGCCTGGTTCGGAACAGCAGGACTAACCGGGCTGCCAATAATCGGAGACAGCCCGGGAGAGAGCCAAGATTTGTTTATCATCAAAGTTCCAGACCCAGAGACAAGTTCATCTTCATCGGCATCAGTATTGACTCCAGGGATCTTCTCTTCGAGACCATCCATGTCATCCAAAAGATCTTCATCGAAATCGTCATCGCTATATTCCCCGTCATCAGTTCCATATCTGGCCCTGCGCTCTGCTTCTTTCTCCTTATGTTTCTCTTCCAAAAGCTTTTCCTGGACCGAAGATTCCATGCCAGTCATGTCAAAACTGAATCTTGACGCGTTGCTCTTCAAGTGCCGTGGTAGCCCCAATGGCTGCTGCAGCATTTCGACCACAGTATCTTCTTCTTCGCGAACCGGTGGAAGTTCGCCCTTCTTAACGGGTTCAACCGCAGGTTTGGGATCCAGCACAGCTTGCTCCTGAGGATGTTGTGGTGTTAGTAGTGGTAGCTGTTGCTGCTGAAGCTGTTGCTGTTCTTGTCGTTGTTCAGCTGGTTGCCCCTCATCACGTTCAGGAATTTTTGATGGCAAATTCCTTGCAAACACAGGGAGTGAATGTTCATTGTCTTGATGGGCTGGGTTTATCAACAAGGGCGACTGTAGATATCCTTTGTTTTCAACCTGCAATGCATTTTTGTCTTCCTCGAAATGCTCCTTGAATGCAGGAGGATGCTCGTTGTGCCTGGTCTTCTGCTCGCTCGTCTGGTTCGACGGTTCGGGTACATGGCCATTCTGGGGCTGTTCATTTACACCAGCCGCATCCTGCGCAAGGATGGGCGCAGTAGATATATTCCGGCGCGGTCGTGGCGCAGAAAAATCATGGACGATATTCCCACGAATTCTGGGGTCATAGTCATCCGGAATTGCAGGAACGAGATTTGGAGCGCCGATTTTCGTGTCATCGGTTCGGGAACTAGCCATCCGAGAAGACCGCGATGACCGTCTCCGGGCCAGAAGGGACATGGGATTCAGTAGATGAAGCATCGCCTTTCCCGACTTATGATGATGCTCCGACGGTCCATCCCGATCTGCATGTCGGCGACTATTCGACCTGTCCAACTTGCTCTCTTTATGCGAAAGCATTGATTTTTCCGCAGGGGAAACATCTGGTGATCCCTTAACCTGAGCATTTGACCGCGATGAACCCGACACAGCTGTCCCCGGTGCTGAAGTAGGCGGCTGTTTTTGATTATCGCTCGACGACGTATTACCCTTCCCAGACGAAAGCCGAAACGGCAAATCCTGCTTCGACGATGACGAATCGCTTTCACCGAATTCTGCACGCGGGCCTGGACACGACAGCTGCGAATTGCTCGAATGCGCAGTCAGCACCGACGCCGCTCTCTCCCGTTCTTCGGGGCTCGAATGAGGTCGGGTTTGTTTCTCAAGCGACGACGATGGCACGGTGAGGTTGGTCGCTGATGAAGACGGCACCATGGAACTACCCGACGGAGCGACCACGTTCAATCTATCTGCCTGTACCTGACCCTGATCCCAATGGTTATTCTCCTCCGAAGCCCGTTGGGCCGTTTGCGACCCGGATCCGTCAGATTCGCCAAGGCCCATCGACAAGTCCGGCGTATTTGGTATAACCGGGAGCTGGGGAGGATTCTCGTTCACATTGTTCTTCGAGGAGGGGGAGGAAGCGGGCTGTTGCGGTTGTTGTTGTTGTTGCTGCTGCGGCACCGGCGACGCACTCGACCGGCGGTGGTCCCGTCGCCAGTAGGAGAAAACAGTAGAGGGAGGCATGATCACGGATTAATTGTGCGCGCGCGAGGACACCTCCAGGATAGGATGAGTCCGTCGTCGCTAATTCTTATTTGTTTATGGGTGAAAAGCTTGCATGACGTCTTGTGTTCTTTTTTCTGCTGTCAACCTGATGGTTGGTTCTGCCGTGGGGCTCTCGCTGAATGGTACCAGGTCTCGGAGAAAATGAAATACCAAGGGAATAATGAACCAATGAGGACCAAAATAGCAGTCACTTGTTTGGAAAACCGAGAACGATGGGATAATCGTGGAAATTGCAAGGAGTAAGACTAGGATGGAGGAGAATAGCTGGAATTACTGGGCGAAGAGGAGAGCTAACGACGACCGCCGCTGGAATGTTCTTTGTAAATCAAGCGCCGCAAGCGAACCATCCAAAACGCGTGGGCCGTCGCAGAACCAGAGAACATTATTTTATTTAGACCAATTGTTAGGAATAATATGTTTCCTTTGCTGCCCGATGTCACTTAGGGTTGGTTTTGAAAATGTCAAGTTAGAATGGAAATTTTGACATGTATTATGCATGACCTCAAGTACCTTTGTATATTTCTTCTGAACAAATAACTTTTGTATGATGCAAGGTGAATTATAAATTCCTGTACAACCTGTACAAGGACATTATGAATAATAGAGACCAATGCCCCAATATACTATGCTAGACAAACATGCTCAGACAACATGCATCATTACCACACATTACAGCATCCACTCCAAACCAATGCTCGAAGACAAAAAACAAAAAAAAAAAAAAAAAAAAAAACCCCTACATAACGCTCTGCCGCCAGCGATCAATCACTTCTCGCTGTGGCAAGTCAGTCGTCGATGCCCCAGTCGTCGCGTGATGCGGTGCGCCAGATCCCATGCAGTTGCGGTAAACCATGTTGGGATGCGCCATCCCGTTTCCATACGCATGCTGTATCGGGTACCCGACATGCTGCGGATGTTCATAGTTCGGTGGAATTTGCTGCAGGGACACGCGAGAACCGGCATAGGCGTGCTGTGCATGTGGCGGAGCGGTGTAATGACTGGCGAATGACTGTCGTTGAGTAGTGTCCGGACGCATGAGGGAAATACTTCCCATGCTTCTCCTGTTCCGGGATATGTTGGCGTAGCGACCGGATTGTGGCTTCTTCATGTCCTGCTGTCGTAGGCGAGCCCGTATTTGTGCCAAAGTTTCTTCCCCGGGTGCCTCGCCATCCTCTTTTTCGTCCTCTTTAAGGTGGCCAATCTCTGCAAAGATCTCGCTTGCGAAATCACTGTTTCCAGCCGTGCTGTTGCGGTTCTTCGCTCTTAGACGCTTGAGGCGCTGGGCCAAGGTTTCTTCCTCATCACCACTGTCGGGACCAGCATGGTTCAGGGTATCGGGAAGGTAAACCGTGTTAGCTTGCTGTGACAGACTCGGTGATTGATCCGGTTGCTCACCCCGTAATCGGGCGCGACGCCTGCTAAGAGGTTCGTCTTCTTCCAGCTGTTTCTTTTCCAACAGACCCAGCGGCCGCGGTTCGGCAGGTATGTATGGCTTCTCAGGGTAGAGCATTCCAAGAGGCACGTCCTCGTCGTCATGGTCGATTCCACCGTTGTGAGTATTGTGATGATCTAAGGCGATGGTAGCAGGCATTTGTCGTCGGTGTTCACTCTGTACCTGGGCAACTGCGTCAAGCTGAAGTAAAGTCGAACGCAACCCTGCACGGTCAGCGGCCGGGCGGTTTCGGTGTCTGAGCTCATGCTTTCGCACTTCTAATTCTGCCATCAAGGTATTCGGAGCACCCATGTAATCACGGATATCCTCCTCGCTGTGATTCAATCCAACGTTATCATGTTCTTGTTCGTGATCGGAATTATTTTGTAAAGCCGTATTCTCATACGCCCCTGCTACTTCGACTTCTGTTGGTTGGGACAAGTGGCCTTGAGACAAATGGCCTGTAGAAGTAATAGGGTGGTCATCGGGGCTGGAAGATCTCTTATGAAATCGGAACAAGCTACGGGAACTGCGCTTTTTCTTCTGTTCTGTCAGGTTTTGAGACGGCATTCTCCGGTGCAACGTTCTAGGAACTCGAGGACTCGGGTCTGGTTGAATGGGTGCTGTAAATGGAGCATGTACGGAATCGTCAAGCATCTGGTCCAGAGTAGCAACGGGTGATGATTGCGCTGTGTCTGTCCCGCGCGGTGTAGCGAAGCGGTCAGAGAATCCTGGTGTGGATCGTCTTTGGCCCAGAAAAACAGAGCTCAGACGATGAGTGCGCCGTGTTTCCCGTTGAGGGACCGGCTTATCGGACAAGCGTGGAGGTAGCTTAAGCGTCGCAGGAACCGGTGCCGGATAGTAGACCATGCTCTCTGCGCGGTACTGCTTAGACCTTTTCGCCATAGGGGGTTTTGCCAAAGAAGCTTGGCGCTCGATACCTTGGCCCTTGTCCTGAGGAACATAATGCACCCCATCGAAATCCGAAAACAAAATTCTGGCCTGTTGATATGTATCGCCAGAGGCGGCGCTAGGTGGACGTTCGATATCGTGATGCGCGGGATAGTACTGGTTGTTGTACTGGATAGCAGCTGGCGGTTGTAGGATCATTGGAACACCCTGAGTTTGGTCATGAAACGGTTGTCCCTCATATCCATCCTCAGTCAACAGCGCCAAGTGAGAAGATGGCATACGAGTAGCAGAACGAACGGAGCCACGGGGTGATTGAAGATTAATGACTGAGTTGGCGACCGAGGCCGTCGAGCTGCGCCGCTTCTGTTCCAAATCCATCTTGCGAATCTCACTTGCAATATCCGACGATCCAGAACTCATTTGTTCTGCACTCCTTTCCAACCGCTCGACGTTTCCCACGTAAGCACCTTGTGACGACTGGAGATCTGGAGTTGGATGGCTGAGCGGTACGGGTTTATCACTGGCAGGGGATCGCAGAGGTGGTTCATCAGGAGAAACGTTACACGATGCTGATCGAGACTGCATCAGGCTTTCATTCGGGCTTGCGGCAGCAGTGGTGGTCGCTGTCTCAATAGGCGGCGGACCCCGGCGGGAACTATTGGATTTTGGCTCGATAGCAGGTTCATCATAGTCGTCGTCCTCTTCAACCATGTCGTAACTCGCGGAACTTATTGAGCGAATCATCGAAACCAAATTTCCGACGCTAATTTCATCCGCTGCTCTGGCTGGTTCAAGATGATGGCCAGCTCCGAGACTATCTGCGTCCGACGGCAATTGTTGAAACCCATGACGTTGTTGCGACAGCACCGGCGAAGAACTGCGAGAGGCATCGGAATCGGAGGCATTCGAAGCTGCTTCGGGATCATCCTGTGATACAGCATTATAAGTCATCTTGGGGTATGCAGATTGATGATGTCAAGGTTGTGAAGTCGACTGTTATTGTCCATTCAAGCCAGCCTGGTGGCCAAGGCAGATTAGATAGCCCTCTTGAAACCAAGCCGCGCAAAAGAAAAGAGGGGAGGGCCAAGGGATCTGTGAAGGATCCCGCAAGGAAAATAAATCCCACTGAATTCAAAGGAATGAAGGGAAATTATTAAGGAAAGAAGGCAAACAGAAAAATAAAACAGGAGGAAAAAAGCAAGAAACAAGAAGCGTTGGAGAGACATCCGGAGTAATCCCGTATTGTAATTGTGACAGCTATATTTGGACTGGATTTAGTCGATTTTAGTCCAGTATATTATTAGTTACATCCTCACTGTACTAACATCCAACATAATTCGGAGTACGACTGAAGCAGTCCACATCCAAATCTCTGCGGGGATCGAGTCCACACATTTGCCATTGTAGAGCCTCTCAATGCCAGCTCTGTACTTGTACCCCTGCTACTGAGAGACCCTGTATCGGTCATACTAAAGAAAATACCAACGCTCGATCTAATGGGGACGTGCACTAAACCATTTTTGGGATGGTGTATCCTGGTAGTCTAGCCCGAGAGTGACAATGCATGGACTAATGGTAGAGTGTAACTATATGAAGCTTCAATGTCTATCCGGTCTGCGGAGCATTGCCTAGTTCCAGAGGTCCCGGAAGAAAGAGTCGGAGATCCATGCTAGACCCTGACAGGCTGATTGCGTTGTAGCCGGGAGCTAAACCGTTCCAGGTATTATGGCAGAGAACTCTTCTGTAAAGGCTTCTCGGAGTGTCAGCTTTTACAAGGCCCTGTACTCTGCAGTGGATCTTGCCCGGTCTTCGACTTCTTGCCGAATGAAGTATTTGGGTCTAGAGTTCATGGAATCAAAGCAAAAGATGCGTTGTCATATGTACTCGAAAGCGCAACTCCCTCCCCTCGGCTAAACCAGCAGGGATTGATCGAGTATGGTTAGAAAGCCGTAGTGAGTGTAGTGATTGATCAAGTAGAAAATATAGACCACTCTAATTCAGAAAGAATAAGCTAAATTTGCTTGGCCTTCTTTGTGTTGGACGTAGTGACAGTGGAGACGTTGTTTATCGTCGCCAAGAACCACATCGGGAAAGCACACGGTTTCACGTGACGCTGCCGAATATGGTACGCGCTGGCAAAGACAACTCGCGTTTTACGAAGGAGAATCATAAAGCAGCAATCCCAACAAGAAAAGCAAGATGTCATATTACGATGTGGATTCTATTCTAACAGACGCCCAGGCAAGCAATTCCTGAGTTCTGAATCGGTATATCATGAGCTAACCTCTTCCAGAAACTGCCCTGCACATTTGAGCTCGAAGTCCCCGGGCTTGGCATACTCGAGGGCAATCCGGGAGAAGATGTATGTTGCAAAAGTTGATCATCCACCACACATTCTCGACCACAGAAACTGACGTGACGTCTGTCAGATCAAAGCGGGGACACGAATTGACCTCCCATTATGGCTAGGAGAAATGCTTTCCATCGGGTATGTGATACTACCTTTTGTCGTTCCTGTCTAATTTGTATGCCAGGGCACGGCTGGGAACGTCTCGATTGGTCAGCCTTGATCTGCCACCTGCATTATCGGAGCGAGTGATGAATGCGTTGAAGGCTGACCCTCGAACCATTGATTTGCGGGCTTTGGCGCCGCACTTCTATAACTTGAGTGAGCGGATCCTGGAGCTGTTTGAAGAAGAGGAGATGGTGGATGTATTGAGTAATGTATGTATTTTCTTTCTTTTCTTCTTTCTTTTCTACCACAAACCTTTTTTTGTTCTAATATGACAATGCTAACTGAAAACAGACATTCCGAAAGCGGGCTGCAGAGATCACTGATCATGCACATAATCCTCGAGGGGCCATGGGGGACGGCGTCGAGTTCTTACGTGGTCTCGATGAAACCGAACGCCAACGTATGTCGAATGCATCCCCGTTGCACAATGTCGTTGTCCACTGACATGCTGTACTACATGCATAGTATTCCGCGTGGCCCACGACAGCGCCAAGCAGATGCGCATTTGGTCCGGAGAGTCAAAAAAACCAAAGACTTGAGGTTATGAGATTTGCATGATGAATTGATGAGCGGGAGCGGTGCTTTTTCATTGGCGTATATTGGTTGCGGATTATTTATCGTTTGGATAACATTTGTTGCAGTGAACTTTGAGATGGTATGCGTCGGAGATGCCGTCAATTGTACAGCGTATTGCCACGCGTAGCACCAATATTGAGACTCGGGAGTTTTTCTCAATGATTTTGCATGATCTAATCCTGGTTCCAGTACAGGGATAGACTCTGCTAGGCAAGTTAATGCAAATATATCTCAACTGGATCTTAGAATTGCAGACCAATTGCAAAGCGGAGGCTTTCCTGTGGCCCGAATGGGTCTAAATTCTCAAGTCATGATGAAACAGTGGATCCTGTCTGGTCCCTGTGTGGGCTGCTAGGGTTGCGAGGGGTTTCCCGAACCGTTCAATATCCCCATATCACCCACCACAAAGTGCTCGAATGTATATGCGTGCTTTTATAGCCGCGGCAGAGAATAGTAGGAATAATATACATAATGGGGCTATATTAACAACAATACACCCCTATCCAACCGGAAACCCGGGGCCCTCACCTATTGAACCGTGGAAGCGCCGGAGCCCAGTTCCATGAGTAGTCAGTACCCAACCAATGGGTCTGGTGGATACATGGTCTCAACCTGAACTGTTTCAATCAAGCCTGATTATTCTACTGTACAGTACTCCGTAGATGTTCTAATACTATATTACCCGATTGGGCGTTGCGGCGATCGCCTATCAATGCCCGACTGCAGGTACATGGACGGGATGATAGAGCTCATTGTGTATAGTAATACATCAACAAGTACTTGTATAGAACCGTTGGATATTCACTACATCGGTGTAGAAAGTGACCCAAATTCCACGTCGCGTGGCAACCAACAGATCGTTGGGAGCATTCCGTGGATCACGGGGTCTGTTCTCGACTGTTTCTCTCCCCGATGGATCGACTCCGTTGTCCTCCAATCCACATTCCCACCGTCTTTTCCCTCTGTGTCTCTTTTCATTCCATCTTTCTCTCCTCTTTCTCCCCTCACTCAATGTGTCTCTCTCTCCTCATCCCCTCTTGGAATTTACCCACTTATCATCATCATCGCCGGAACAATTGACTACCATCGTGGCTCCCCCTCACGTTGTGCAGCTGCAATATTCATTACTGGCATTCGTTCCTGTCGACCTCACTTACATGCTGCATCCTCCTTACGTCCAACTCACATCTTGTCAACCAGGTAGCTACCAAGTGATGTGCTGCTCCTAATTTAGGTCCCCTTGGCGGCCATTATGGACAAAAAACAGAGACACTGCTCCGTCTCGGGGTCTTCCTGCCTAGCCGACCATTCGCGATACCCATTGCATCACACTCGTTGTCGCAGCGAATCGCTGACGGACCTTCCTAACGGTACGTTTCACGTAGTCCCTTTTTTATTTTATTTTATTTTTTTTTTTTCTTGCAACTTGATGGAATTCGCGCGTCTTCTCTTCAACCAAACGTGTGGCTAACATGCCGTTTGCATAGACATCCCAGAATCTCGTCAAATATCCCTTGTTCGCGTCAAGGGTCAAGACCTCACCATGCAAACTCCTCCGAAGAAGTCAGGTACGCTCGCAATCAATTTGACCATATATCCTACCACGCGTGATAGAATTGACAATCTTCCAGAGATGGTATGGGCCAACGACCAATCGCCCAGCAAATCGCCCAGCAAAAGAACACCAGGGAGACCCGGAACTCCAGGAACACCAGGGACGCCTCGCAGAGCTGGTACGTTGTTACACTGTCAGTTGTGCTGGTAAAATACTGATGACGCCTGTTGTGCAGGAACCCCGGAAGCCGGCAGCACGCTCGTGAACCCTTCCTCCGTTCTCCTCCAAGATCTGTTAAAAGAACAACGTGCCTGTCGAGGTTCACGGGCAGCAACAGAAGAAATGGATGCTCAGGTGCCACGAACCCCGGATCGTCCTTCCGCCCGGTCGCGATCGCAGTCCCAATCCCAATCTCAGGACGATACGAGCGAAAAACAGAAAAGAGTCAATTCGGCTTTGTCAGCGGGTCTAAGACAACCGCGAGAAATGGGTGTCAGGGAAATGGACCATGTTGGTTGCCCCTCTATTGATGTGGATAATGTCCAGACTGACCATTATGCCCGCAGTACGTGTCCAAGATGAACAAACAGAACTTCGACCTGAAATTGGAAATTTTCCACCGCACCCAACAAGTTTCAGCTTTGGAAAAAAGGCTGGAACGCTTGGAGGAACTGGAAGAAGAGGTGAAGCGGATACGTGCATTGGAAGACGAGCTGCAAGAGCTGCGCCATGCAGAGGAGGACAACCAGCGGCTACGCGAGTCGAACGAGCAATTGCGGCAAGAGCTTGACAAACGAGATCAGGCAGTTACAGAGGCAGTTGATCTCATCTGTCAGTTAGAGGCGAAAGTGGCTGAATTAGAGGCAACAAACCCATCGAGACCGTCCACGGCTCCCAGCGAGGGGCCTGATGTTGCAACGCCGAAACAGAGTGCTTTTATTGACATTCCGGAAAGAGCGACGTCAAAACAAGGTACGAATTTCGATCAGCACCGCAATGCGTCCCCCGAACGTCCTCACCTTCAGAGTGCACCATCATTCCTCCGTGACGAAAACAGAACACCCGCCCTGCGCGGCCTATATCTCCCCGGTGGCAATCAGTCACAGTCAGCCATGAGTGTGATTACGAAGAGTGAGAGCTTGAACTCCATGAATGAGAACGCAGAGCCTGCTTCCCCAAGACTGAGCGCCCTAAGTGAATGCAGTGACCTGATTCCCGAAGAAGTTTCTGTCCTACAAGAGGAAGCCGATCAACCTGAAATTGCGAGTCGAGGTGAGGAATCAGAGGCAGGCAGTTCTGACACGTTTGGACGGAAGTTCCAGATTCGCTCGCAGGAAAGGAAACGTGCACACATTGATCAATGGATACGACCGGTGCCGGGTGCGTATTCGAACCAGAATGGTTCCCCAAGGCAGAAGAAGCGGTCGAATGACTCGATGGACCCCCGTCAGAGGGTTCGAATGGATGGTTTGTTCGGAAGCTCGAGGCTTCCACCTACTCCGGATACAATGAGTACCGCGCCACGTAACAACCGGTCGAATGGTAGTATCCAAGCCGGTAAATACCGGAAGCAACAGCTTGGTCGGCCACGTTCCTTTGATGAATTGACATCACGCCGAAGCTCGGACAACAGTGCGCGGACTGGTAGCATGGGCACTAATATGAGTGACACTTCAACTCGTGAGATGCAGGGCATTGAAAAACATGAAACACCTGCGATAACTCCATTGAATTCCATCTCAACAAAGCATCGTCGCCACGTATCTTGCCAGGAATCTACTACTTCATGGGATGACACAGGACATCATGGTGAGAGCGATAGCAAGAGCAAGCGACACACAGTAAACCTCCCGTCTTCTCCACAGTTGACTCCGCAGGATTGGGTTGAGGCGGCCAACCCGATTCCTGCAGAAAAGGCAGGCTATCAGAAGCCCAGCAAATACTACCAGAACAGTGTGTCGATGGGTGCTAGACATCCAGGCAAAGCAAGTCTGGATGTACGACGGCATAGCATGGATTCCGCCATCCGTCGGTCTACAACGGAGCCCACCTTAGATCCTCATTCTCTTGAATTTGCACCTCATCCTGCAGTGCGGCCACCAGCACCTGTACCAGAACCTACACGACGGCGAATCAGTTTCCGGCCGCCGTTCTTTAACCTCTTTGGAAACTCTCGTCGTCTGCAACAATCTGCTACTCAGGACTCTAGGAGTAGCGAGGAGCACGCACCAGCTCCTGTTGTACCGAAAGCCCGTAACTCGGGGATGAAGTCAACACCTAAGCTTCTTGAATACCGGCCGGCTTCCAGCCGCGCAGAACTAGGCCCTCTTGTTCCAACATACGCTGACCCTGCCCAGCGGGCTCTTGTCCACTCTTCTACAGAATCAAACATTCTCTCCAACACCACTCGGCCTATCACCTCCAATAGCAAGGAGCACAAGCGCCGCAGCTCCCTTTCAATCATTGGCTGGATGAAGGGAGCCACGGGCAAGAAGTCAGAACCTAATTCACCAATTACACTCACACAATCCAACAATGCAGTGAGAAGTAGGAGATCATCTTTACGAATGAACCCTGACATACCAGACGCTGCCAAGGATATGGCAGCAAACACAAGTACCCAGGCTTTCGCCGGCAGTCCCAATCCCGACGAAGCGGGACGCCGATTGAGATACATCGAACGGCGCGGTCACCGCGGTTCGCTGAGGTGAACAGTCTCAGTCGAACTAGACGGCGGGCCTAACCATACTTAATGTCTTTTTCTTATCAACCTACCATCTACCCGGCATTCCCTCATGCCTACACACCTACTTCATTTTGTACTATTCACGCCTTGCGATTTGATACCCCTACATATGTGTTATTTTCCACGAACTACGATAACGATGGCAAGGACTAACATGATTACGTACCATTTTACAATTTACTACCCATACTTAGGTTGTTGACCCTGTCCAGCAACCCCCATCACTCTTTTTAAAGGCGAACCCATATAGCCGGATTTACTGTACCCTGCAGGTACGGGGACGTTGGTATCGGAATTTCATGTTTTATGTTTCTACGGAGTATGTATCATGTTCATCTTTTCTTATTTATTCTCGGATGGAGTGGTTTTTTGTGGCTCTAAAATTACAGTTACAGGCGTTATGGATTTATGGTTTATCAAAATTAGCGTACGGTTTAATGAACCCAACGGGAGGTTTTGAACCTCGGTTGCTTACTCCAACCAACTAGTCTATGCTTGATCTGTGGATAGAGCTTTAATAAATTTAGATATACCAGTATCTATGATTCAGTCTAATGTACAAGTTCCCATGTTCAAATTGATAGTCACGCCTGTTCCGTTTCATCCCAAGTTAGTTGAACCAAAGCTAATACCGTGCTGTACTCCTTAGAATCCATGTATGTATGTTCAAGAGCTTTTTTGTTGCTGCTGATGTTAAATTTCCACAGTGAACATTCTGTGCGCTGTGGTTATTCCGTATTTATAGTGTCACGACGTGGTGTCTATGAACCGCATTTGGTACGTATTATGTTGCGTTCTTCTTGCAAGTACCCCGAAAGACAAAAATACAAGGGAGAGGGTACGTTGCGTCCTCCGAAAACGGTCTGAGATTATCGATGGTACATTCCGATTGCAGGGGAACCAGGAATGCGCATGCGGTAAGGAGCAGAGGTACAAGAGACAAGTCCTCCCGATGGCCTCCTTTGTCTTGACTTGTTCCGTCTTCCACCCTTTGCCGTCCGGCCACATGGCGAAAATCAATACCAATTCGTCCCCGCCTCACCCAGCCTCTTCCCCCTTGGATTCATATTCAGAACCCGTTGACCAGGAATGGTATCGTCTGTGAGCGCCGATTCGAATGTCCCCGAGATAGTTCTCTTCCCTAATGCCTTGAACGAGTCATATCTTTCCCCTTCTCCATTGACTGCCGCCCACTCCGGCGAGGATCTCGGACTCGTTCCATCACCGAGATCACACCAGCGCGTGACGACGATGGCATGTCGGAAGTGTATGCTCTTCGGGTTTTCGCGGTCTTCGGTGAGTTTGATCTCAACGAGGTATTCGGAGGGACAGTCGGGACAGCGACGCATGGGACGACATTTCCCGCAGAGTGTCGTGATAGCATTGGGGTTGTAGGTGCGACCGTGAGACATATCTTTGGCTCTATGTTCGAAGCCTTGCAGGCCGGCTGTGGCGCGGGGTTTGGGGATATGGTTTAGCGCGCATTTGCAGGTATTCATGAGTTCACCATCACGCCAGTGTGCGCACGCAGAGAAGAACGGCCAGTAGTCGTCGCGGGAGTAGAGGAGGAGGCGCTGCGAGGAGGGAGGTAGGTCCGGGGGTGCGAAGGTCGAGCTTACGACTCGCATTAGCAGGCGGCCTCTGTTAACGAGGTAGCGGGAGTGGTGGGACCAGCCGTCGCGTTGCCAGCGACGGGAGAGGGATTCGACGGTGATGCCATATCTGGGGGAGAAGCGGTAGGCGCGCAGTGCGAGCTGGACGAAGGCGAAGTATAGGTTACGGCCGTGGGTGATTCGGTGACGGGGTGCGGGCAGCGCTGTGTTGCGCGCATTCGGGCACTCGAAGAGCGGATTGAGGACATTTGCGGGCTGGAGTTTCTCGCGACCTTCTTGCGTTCGACGGTGGAATTTCGCACAGGGGAAGCAGAGCAAATGATGCGGTAAGAAGCGGTCCTGCGACACCAGGAACTCAGCCCGATACTCGCGGTTTTCGGGATAGCCCAGTTCGATCCAGGGACCTGGACCGAGTCGATTGAACAAGGTTTTGTTGGCGAAAGCTAAGCTGGCTCTGGCGGCGGGATCAAGATTCTCGGCTATCATGCCCCAGAGCGTCATTGATAGACTCGCTATTAATGGCTCGCCTGGTCGTTCAGGGTCATATTCCCAGTCCTCAGCATCTTGTTCGTGGTTCCCCGTGCCATGAATTCCGAGTGAGTGTAGGATTGTGGTGTAGTCGCGGTTCTCTCCCAATTGCGAGTCGATTTGTCCTGTTGCTGCCCGGTATTTCTCCTGATGAGCCTGCAACGGGGCGAGTTTAGGTACCGGGGGGATATCATCGTCGAGCTTTTGTGCCAGGGCAGTTGAGCGAAGGTCCGGAGTGGATGCGTTAGCCTTGCGGAGGACTCGGCGAGACCTTTTGGGCCGGAGAGCGTTGGCAAAGAAGGCCCGGAAGCCCTGTCTATCGCCGGGACTTTCAACGGACATGATCAATACGTAAGATGAGAAATTAGAGAATGAAAGAAAAACATGCGAAACGAAAAGATGAAGTCGCAAGAAACTGAAACAGGGAAACAGGAAAGGATGGAGTCGATGATCACTCAATACGGTAAGATTACGTGTGATACCACCGTTAGAGAGCCGCGGTTCTCCGGTGCCAGAGAAGTATAAGTCTAGACTACACCACTATATCATCATAAAGACCGTATGTGAAGGACATCAGGATAGTCAATTTTTTCATTAACTAGCCAAGTCATCTTATTCAAGCACATAAAAACACGCTCAAAAGTCAATTGCGCTAAAATATACAGTGCTTGTAATGCACTTACGAGAAGCGCTTTTCAACGGCCTTCCAGTTGACGACGTCCCAGATGGCCTTGAAGTACTCGGCCTTGCGGTTCTGGTATTGGAGGCTGTTACATGTTAGTATACCATTCATGAGCTATCCAACCATGGTCGACTTACTAGTAGGCGTGCTCCCAGGCGTCAATACCGAGGAGGGGCTGGAACTGGCCAACGACAGGGTCCTGGTTCTGTTGTGTGTCAGCTATTTGGCCTTATTCTCGCATTTCGTAGTATTCTTCTTCGGGGTCTTACAGCGTAGGTGCGGACACTAATCTGACCAGTCTGCTTGTCCTTGACGAGCCAAGCCCAGCCACTGCCCTGGATACCAGCAAGAGCAGTGTTAATCTGTGCCTGGAGCTTGTCAAGACCACCGAAAGTGTTATCAATGGCAGAAGCGAGAGCACCCGACGGGGGTTCACCACCACCAGCGTTCTTGGGGGCCAGGTTCTCCCAGAAGAGAGTGTGGTTCAGGTGACCACCGCCGTTGAAGTTAATGGCGGGCTTGAGAGCAATCTGAGCGGAAATGTCACCCTTGTGCTGAGCCTCCTGGAGCTGCTCAACGGCGGCGTTGTAGTTGTTGACGTAGGTGTTGTGGTGAGCCTTGTGGTGAAGTTCCATGATCTGACCAGAGATGGCAGGCTCCAGAGCACCATAGTCATCTGCATTGAGTAGGCATGTTAGACCGCTGCGTAAACAGGATTGCTATGCCATCACGCCAATCGAGGGGCAGATTAAAAATCCAATGGGCGCCGAGAACACGGAGAATCCATCCCACACAAATGATGGCGGGAAATCACTCCTGTTACGTCTAATGACCCAAAAATCGAGACAAAATGCAATCACAGAAGAAACCAATACTTACACGAAAGGTCAGGCAGAGTAGCCTTGCCCCGGGCGAAAGTCAAGCCCGCAACGCCAGCTCTGGGAGTAGCCGAAGCTCCGGAACGGAGGGCAGCGCGGGTAGAGGTACGGAAGAGAGAAGCAGCCATGATGTGTGGTATACGGGGTATCTTTTTGGGTATATGAGAAGGTGTGTGTAGGAGTGAGAGAGTGTGAGCAATTGAGAGAAAGAAAGAAGAGGGAGAGGAGGAACGGAAATAAAAAGCGAGCAGAGAGCGACAAGAAAGTAACCGGACGAAAACGTCATTGTTGCTCGGGGCTCGGGTTCTTGATTTCTCCGCCTTCCGATGGACCGTTGGCCGATATTGACGACGCGGTTACTAACACCATGCCAAGAGACCTCCACGACTGTACTCTGTATGTTTATCCTGATGCTGCGCTGAAATAGCGCTATCCCAGAGCATCTGCTGGCCATGGACTCCCCTTCCAATTCGTCTTTCGGCGGCCAGAAACGCAAGATCGCCGACATGAGCTCCGACGAGGACGATGCGCGCCCTGCAACGAGCTTTCGCGGCTTCAAGAAAGCTTCATCTCGATCCGAATCGCCTCCGCCATCTGGCTTAGGAGCCCGTCGAAACCCTATGATGCAGACGGCCACCCCCGCTCCGAGAGGGGGAAATGCCACTGGGGGGTTAAAAGGCGCCAACTCGTTTGCGGCGCGCATGATGGCTAAGATGGGATATAAAGAAGGCCAAGGTCTAGGATCTGGTGGCCAGGGTATTGTCAACCCGATCGAGGCGCAGGCTCGTCCGCAGGGTATCGGTTTGGGTGCGGTCCGAGAGAAGACGAAACAAGCTCGAGAGGAGGAGAAACGGGCCGCCGCCTTACGGGGAGAAGAAGTGGAAGAAGATAGTTCGGATGAGGAACGGAAGCGACGGCAGAAGAAAAAGGAAGCGCGCAAACGAGCAGGAGAGCGCAGTGAGACAGGTACCCCGGTTCCTCGTGTTGCAAAACCCAAGTTCCGCACGGCTCGAGAGATCGAGGAGGACATGGATGGCCTGGAAGTTCCGAATGTGCTCAAATCTTTGATTGATGCAACCGGGAAGGAACAGAAAGTCTTGACCTCGACGGCCGGGTTAATGGCCCAGCAAGAATTTGTGAGCTCAGGTGAAGGAGAGGCCGCCAAGATTGCGCGACGGGCCCGACACGATTTGGAGGCTTTCGCCGATGAATGGAAAGGCTTGACAGAACGAAAAAAATATATTGAGATGGAGGAGGCACAATTAGTGGATCAACTGGACACAAACCAACAAAAGATCGATCAATTCACGGAGCTGATAACAGCCGTTGGGCAGTTGGAGATCTTCCAGAGTGAGAGCATTGCAGGGAAATTCGAGGAAGTCACCAGCAAACTCGAAGCGCTGCAAGTTAAGTACAACGATCACATTGACGAATATCGTCTATCAGAGACGGCAGTAGCCGCGATCCATCCTCTCTTCCGCCAGGCGATGGAAGAGTGGGAACCTCTGCAGGACCCAACATTCCTACTATCACATCTACGTCGTCTCCAGCCCTTGTTGTCTCGTAAAAGCGAAGATGAACAAAGAATCCGGTCATCAACATCGCCCTACGAAACCATGATCTACACCTTATGGCTACCCCGTGTGCGCTCCGCACTTCTCAACGACTGGGATGTATTCGACCCGGGCCCGGCCACGACGCTGGTTGTCTCGTGGAAAGAGGCCCTTCCATCATTTGTATATGCTAACCTTCTCGATCAACAAATCGTCCCGAAGCTGAGCGGCGGCCTGAAACAATGGAAGCCGCGCAGTAGTCGACGACATCCATCATCAGAGCACAGCTCGCGCTTCCCCTGGTGGCTCTTCACATGGCTCCAATACCTCGACGAAAAACACACAAACCCTAAACAACCAACAGGGCTTATGTCCGATGCGAAGCGCAAATTCCGCGTCGTTCTGGATACCTGGGACCTCCGCAGAGGCGTCGTCAGCGGCGTGGAGCTGTGGAAAGCTGCCCTGGGGTCCGAATTTGATGTCTGTCTACACAACCATCTCCTTCCGCGTCTGGGTCGCCATCTCCGCGAAGACTTTGATGTCAACCCGCAAGACCAGGACCTAACGCCACTGGAAGACATCTTCAAATGGAAGGACTGGTTTGCGCCCAACGTACTGGGCATCCTGCTCGTTACGGAATTCTTCCCCAAATGGCACTACATCCTTTATATCTGGCTCACCAACGACCCCAACTACGAAGAAGTCGGCGAGTGGTTCTCCTGGTGGCGGTCGCAGATCCCGCGCGAAATCAACGAACTCGCCATCGTCGACGACGAATGGAAGAAGGGTCTACAGACCATGGACCTCGCCTCCCGCCTTGGCGATCGCGCTGCTACCGAACTTCCCCCATCAACAAAACAACCATCCGCCGCCCAAGAACCCCAACCCCAAGCCAAACCCACACAACCACCATCAGCAGAAATCCGCAAACCTCGCGTGGTCGAGGAAGTCGCCTTCAAGGATATCCTCGAAAACTGGAGCGCCGAGCAAGGCCTCCTCATCATCCCGCTTCGCGAGGCGCATCCGCAAAACGGACAGCCTTTGTTCCGGATTACGGCCAGTGCTACTGGGCGTGGTGGCGTTGTTGCGTTCATCCAAGGGGATGTAGTTTGGATGCAGAATAAAAAGGCGAAGGAGATTTGGGAACCGGTTGGGTTGGACGAGGGGCTGGTTGAGAAAGCGGAGGGGAGATAATTGTCTTTTGGTAGTAATTGCATACGAAAGGAATGGAATGGGTATATTTGCATGTTTATGAATATTTGGATAGACAATAACTGAGCGGCTTTTGCATTTGCTTAAATGAGGCTAGTCATGCTCCAAACTTATCCGTTCTAGAAGTATGGCAGACTCAAGAAACTGTCTGATGCGCTCTACGTGTTGCCGTCGGCCATAGCAGGCCTAGAGCATTCACTCTTCAAAGAAACCTATTCACCTTTGTTGCCTCTTCATACTTATTTTCCTATGAAACCCCTCCTACACTGTCCATCATCTACGCTCTATTTTTACACAGAAGCGTAAAAAAGCGAGATTGATGACAAGTTCGACCATGCTTGCTCATGGTAGCATCTCAAGTGAATAACTAGCAGAGTGAAGTGGCATGATTGCCTAGAACATACACCAAAAGCGAGACACAATATACTCGAGGGGCAGTGTGAGATAACCCCATGTGTGTTCACGAGCACAAAATCGTGGTAACATATGATATGTTGGCTTACCCAGGTCCAGACCTCAGATATGATCAACCAACATCAGTGTAATCTCAGGCAATAAACTGAGCAACTACAAGTCTTCATCGCTGCAACTTTTAGGATGAAATAGTCTTGGTCATTTGTCGAGAAGACAAGAGCACCGAGGAAAACTTCTGTATACGGGATTGTTATCTTTTTCTATGTCGAAACACATGCTGGGCATGCAGCAGTGTCTTACAATATGCCCATATAGCTCGCAGAGATGACACGAAGGTATTAAACTCCATTAGCCGGCTATGATAAAAGTGACTGCCCATCTCCAACGGATATAGAAAACAGAATGTCTACATCCAACCACTTCCAATCGCAGCTTACAAGAACTGAATACGACTGTGTGCTAACTTCCATATCCTTTTCGCCGACATGCTTAACCTAGGCTGGATTTTCCTCCCCACAGACCTCTTTTTTTTTTTTTTTTTTTTATAAAACACGAGATCGAGGGCCTAGCAGCGCGTCTCCAGGGAGTATCTGGCACCGCAATGTGCCAAACAGCCTCAAATTTCTAAACCTGGCAGAAAAACTGGGGCCGGGGCAGTGGGTTCTTCAGCGCTGATCGCTGGCGATAGAAAATGGCATGGGCACTCATGCGGGCAAGTCCGCAACATGGCGTGGGGGATTCTCGGGACTGTTAGAAACGATTGGGATTATAAAACCTTGGGGACATTTCGTCTAATATGCACCAATCACACTAAATCCGGACCCAGGTTGACATGGTTTTTATATCAGCCGACCTACAATACTCCATAGACTACGAACTAGCGAACCGATACACACGAAAACCCTAATTTAAGCATGGGCTGTTCCTACAGTACCGATAGGAGCTACACAGGTGTTTTGTCACAAATCGACTCATATAAAACGTACACGAAACACAAAAATGGAGTTCAGAAGAATGGGCGTCCATAGTGCGCACAAGGACACATGCCCGCGGTAATTCGCATTGTTTGAAGGATGTTATTGCCAAAAAACGATGAATTATATGGGACGTGCCATTTAATATACACCAATACACCAACCTTTCTAACCCAGGATGGGCTCTTTGTGCCAAAGAACCTCCAATACTTTATCTATAACGAACTAGCAAAGCGAGGCATGACGGAAGCCTTAATTCAAGAATCGGCTGTCTTTAAAGCGACACCGACAGGAGCTCACCTCAATACCAAGACAACACCATCTACACTCTCACCATCCATATTTTACCGACTAAATTTTCAACTTTCAAATCATTCTATACCCAGCATTGCACGTTGTTGTTGTCATCCAGTTATCTGTGCCAACCATGTCATTGGCATCAACATGAAGTGCACACCGCTAGATGCCACGAAAGAGACGTCCAAAAATCCAAAAATCCAAAATTCAGAAGCCCCGAAAATTCTCAGATAAGCTCACAATAAACCATGTCCCCATGCTACGCCGTGCGGCTAGTGGAAAGATGAGAACCCTCTAGCGGAATACGATTTGCTTGAAGAATCCTCTTAAGCCACCAGGAACAATGTTTCACGTCGACTCACAGAAGCTGGCCTTCCTGCTGGATCTCTACAAAGCATCTTTCAGACCCCTTAGCCCACGTTCTCTTCGACATACCGACCGCCAGTTGTTACTAGAAACAAAGTGGAGAGACACACGGAGACACCAAAGGGAAAGGACGGGAATAACAAGACAGACATGATCCCCGAAGACAAAGCAGATTCTGAAGTCAAGAAGGGAGAAGAAGAACCCATAACAGCCTCCACCTCAGCCCTCACTATCACTCAATATTTGAATTCATGGCATAAGCTTTCCGAGACAATGGATATCAGATCCTTCGGTACGACACATTGAACAATCGCACAAAACGATAAGAAACCCCCAGACGCTCCCAGATAGCAATTAGGCAAAAGATATTGCAATACCTCTGTGACATGGCTATCCATGAAACTGGAGTGAGCACGGTCACAACGAAACAAAACATATATTATTTGCAATGCACGAGTACTCTGAGCAAGCTACTGTCACTGTAGACACGACGTGAACTGGACCCTAAAAGCATTGCAGAGGTTTCCAGCTTCACTAATAATTGGTCTATTGAGACTAGAAAAAGAGGATTGTGTACGGCTGGCCAAATGGGTGTCCTGTTTGTTGCACCTTGATATTGTGCATGCAGGACTTTTACAAACAAGAGTGTAGACATTGCAAAACGTACCTTTGATAAGAAACAGAATTTTTTTTTTTTT